GCCTGTAGTTCCAGCTACTTGGAAGGCTGAGGCGGAAGGATCAGTGGAGCCCAGCAGGTCGAGGCTGCAGTGGCCGGGAGCGCCACTGCACTCCAGTCTGGGTGACAGAGTGAGATTCCAACTCAAAAAAAAAGAGCACATGGCTAGACCACAGCTTAGCAAAGCAATGGCCATGGCTACCATAACTCAGTGAATGCATAGCCTGGTCAGAGTTTAATGAAAGCAATGGCCAAAATCCCAAAATTTTTTAAAGTATGAAACTTAAAAAGCTGATTTTATAAATTTATATCCCAGGGGTGCACATAACATTAATAAGGGTGCCTGTTCTCAAGCCAGGCAAAGTGGGGACCAAAGGAAGGCCCAAATTTTACTTGCAAAACGACCACCTGCATATCAAATCCTGAATTGTACTCCACATCTTTAAAGTAAAATATGCTAGAATTTCCAGCAAGATGGCAACAGGACAGGTTGGACTGCGAGAGTCTGTACAAAAGCAAGTGTTCATAAAGACTCTTTGCGTGAGTGGGTGTGTGCTGGTGGGTGACTGAAAGTCCTTCTGAGGGGAGACTCAGGTTCATGTGCCCAGCGTTCTCCTCCAGAGGTGGCTGCAACCCCTCACCACCCTGAGATGGGAGCCTTCGGTGCACAGGATTGTTTGCTGTTCTTGGGGTTCTCCTGAGAAAAACCTGCCAGACACAGCTGATCCTCATCACCTGGAGCCGCCCCACACCATCACCTGTGACAGCAAAATGGCTGGAGCCCTGGATGTGTGGAGAGAGCAGTTGGGGAGAGCTGGAGAGAAGCCTCACCACCAGTGAGGAAAAACCGGCTAGAGCCATGTTCTCTGTTCTGGGACCAGACAGAGACCTGCATTGCCCCACCCAGCTCCACCCAGCCTCCAACCTGGGACTTAGAGGTTGTCTCATCGAACTCAGAGAGACACATGCCCCTCCCCCACATTGGAACAGGCATAGACACGTCAGATCTGAGTGGGAAACTTGATAGCAGCGGGCCAGGTGAGTTCAGATCTGATCCACCCTCTTCCCACAGTAGTCCATGGGGTATCTGACCCATGCCGAGAGCAAGCCTTTCAGCCTGCACTGAGAGCAGAGGAGAGGGGCTGGAAACCAGAATTGAAAGGAAGTTGAAATTACAGAAACTGCCTCAGAGCAAGTTTTGTGGTTTTTGTTTTTGTTTGTTTGTTTTAGTTTTGTGGGGTTTTTTTCTTTTCCTCTTCTCTCTTTCTGTTTTTGATTACATTTTTGTACTTGCTTTGTTTCTGTTATTTTATTGTTGCTTTTTAGACTTCCTGTTTGTGTATGGGTATTTTTGAGGAAGAGCACATCAATGCGGGGGTTTTGTCAGTTTGTGTGTTTGTATGATTGTCTGTATGTTTTTGTTTTTTTCATCTTTTCTGTCTT